CCTGGTAAACCTCACTCTGCAAATACCCCTGCTTTTGAGGCTGTCCACAGACCACCATGGGAATGCCAAACCCTGTTGGACCCTCGGTCCCTTGCAATTCCCTACAAATAGATACTGGGGGGGGGAAGACATGGGATGGGACACGACACACAGGGGGACCATAGCCTGCCAGGACTCCTAAACTCACAGGGCCCCGTTTCCCCCAGGACTCCCATTGTCTTCTGGCCCATTCCAGGACCGCTCCTTTGCACTCAGCACCGGGCTGCCTTGTTTCCCCCTGGTTCCCCGCTTGCCCTTCAGACCCTGCCACTTTCCCCCATTTTCCCTATAACCTCCAATGTCCCTTTGGGGGCCCCAGTTACAGTCAGTTGACCCAGTTGCCTGACCCCATACCATCACCCTTCACTCCCAGGACCCCCCACTTTCCCCTTGGGCCCCCCCCAGATGCTCCCTGATACTCTCCCCCCCCCATGGGAATATTCTCCCCCCTCCTTTCTCCATTCTTCCTTCCGCTTTCCAGGTGTACCCATCGATGCTGGAGCCCCCCCAAAGCCAGTGACCACCAGGCATCCCACAGACCTGGACAACAGGGTCCCCCAGGGGCTTCTGTATATCTGGAGTCACCCTAGGGGAGCTTGGCACACGGATACCCCCCTGAGGACCAAAGTCTGCACTTGCTCTCCTTGCACTGGGCTGGCGTGTGCAAACTGGAACAGTCTAAACCCAGAAACACAGAGGCCTAAAAATCTGGATTATCTTGGATGTGGAGCAATGGTTATTCTCACGAGGGCCTGCACAACCCAGGATTAGAGCCGAGTGAGACAGCCTTGAACTCTCTCTGACTCAGCTGAGCCGGGGAGGCCTGGAGTCGAAGAAATGTAAGCAGAACGCTGCAACAGGAGCTTGCTGGCCACAAGGAATGCACCGCTTATCGCAAGGCACGCACCCTGCTGCTGCAGAGATATGTGTGTAAGACTTAGCTTAGCCAATAGCAGTGTACAGACAGGCGTGTGGACAGGTTTATGTAGCCAATGAAAGACGTACAGCGGGCAATGAGGCTCGGCCTGTAGGGGGGAAGGAGAAGTCGGGGAGGGCGCTGGGGGGGCACGAACCGTGCGGGAGGGCGCCTGGCGGGCGTGCGGGACCGCAGCGCAAACCAGGCCCCCCCCGCGCCCAGCGCCGCTCCCAGCAGCGATCCCTGCGCCAGGCAGGTCAGCATCACTGCCAGCGCCAGGGGCAGCGCCAAAGGCCAGCGCCAGGGGCAGCGCCACCGACTCGGCAGCGCCATCGCTTCCGATCGCAGCAGCAACGGCCACCGGCCCGGAACGCGCTGCGGGAGCCGCGCGGCCGCACCTCGGCAACCGCCGCCTTCTACAGCTCGTGGCCCTGTTCCACCGGCACCCCCGTTCCACCCGCCTGCTACTGACAGCCCTGGGCCAGCCGCGCCCCTCACAGCCACTGTCCCTGGGCCACCCCTGCCCTTAGCCCACCCTCGCCTCTGTGCCTGCAGCTTCCACAGCCCTGCTGTGCCCCACCAGGCAGGCACCACGGCAGGGACGATGACACGGACCACACACAACACGATTCCCCTGAGCATCTCCCTGGCCATGACCCCCACGGGCCAGCTCAGGGGCACCCGACTTCCCGGGAGGGAGCGGGGCACACGGGGAATCCCCATGGAAAACAACAAACCCGAGGCAAATGACCGGGGTTCCGATCTCAGCAGCTGCCAAGCGCCACGCTTGAGATTCAGGGGAAAGCTCTGCTTAAACTGGGCTGGGTTTTAATGCAGCCACAGCAAGCTTTGGTCTTTACAGCTAATGAGGGCTTTGCAGGCTCCTCCTGAGCTCTCAGGGGACAGCCCAGCACTGGCATGCGCTGTAACCTAGGGTATCCGTGCTGGGGACAAATGTGGTCTATTGAGACGTGCAGCCCTCATGCTCCGTCAGGTCTTTCTGCTCAGAGCTGGGCACAGAGGAGGGTGCTGCTGCTGTGCTGCCATTTCAAAGGGGCCTTGCAAGGAATGCTCACACTCTGCCCACAGGAGGCAGGGCTCCATCTCCAGCCCTCTGGTTTCCCCTGTTCCCATGCCCAGTGCTCCCATGCAGTGGGCACAGCTGTAGCACTGGGGCTGGCTCAGGTCCTCGGGGGGCTGCACAAGGGAGCCTTTTGGTGGCAGATGCCAGGGGAGCTGTAGGTGACCAAAAGGAAATGGTGATGCAAGGGCAGGAGCTCTTGCATGTGCAGCCTGTGGCTGCCCCATCCTGCTTGAGCCTTGCCCCCACCTTCCCCGCCTGCCCTCTCCCAGCCATACAGAGGATGCTGCGGCCATCCTTGGGCTTGGGGAGCACCACAGGTGCTTCATTCAGCCCATCCACCTCTGCTTGAGAGCGTAAAGACTCCTCTGGTTGCCGCTGCCAAGGCACTTGTCTGTACTTGCCCCTCTGCAAACCGAACGAACGCTGCAGCACCATGGGGAGCTCAAAACAGACAAAAAGGCACCTGCTGACTCGGGCAGCCTACTGGCCCTGCCTCTTCACTGTTGTCTGATCTCAGAGGTGCCTTCAGAGCATCCCCAAGGGCTCCCTGCTGCCTGCCCCTGGGCTGGGCTAAGGTCTCACCGGGAAACACCGACTCAATAGAAACCACAGTGGTGATTAAGTATCCTTCCCAGCACAGTTGTGCAGTATTGCCCTGACAAACTGCCCCTGCTCAAAGCAGAAGCAAAGTGAAGGAAACCCAGTGAAATAATAATAACTCGTAATAATAATACAAATAGTAGTAACTGTTGTTCGACCACACAGCTGTGTTGGAACAGGGGAAGCCAGTAACCGCCAGTAGAGGGTGCTGGAAAGCGGCACCCTGCGCCCTGGCCCAGGCACCAAACACGGGCAAGGCAGACGTGAACACAGACTGTTTATTTGAAGTGGGGACATAAAAAGCGGGAAGGTGAGCGGGGGAAGATTGCACCTTCACAGTAAAGCAATACTAAAATGGTAGTAAAAAAACCAATATGACAACTGTGGTAGAAGAAGAGAGTAACAACAGCAGATCAACAACAGCCTCACAAGAACAGAACAACAGAACACTAACAAAACCAGACCGTAACAAGCGCAGAGACGCACCGCCATTCCTCCAGCCTTGGCTGCGCAACCGTTCCAGCAGGAAGAATTGGATTCAGCCCGTTCCATCGGTGCTGCCTCCCAGCACGGTTTCCTGCCGGCAGCAGAGACGGGTCTGGCCCCGTCATTCCGGGCCCGCCTCCCACCGTCTCCCCGCGCCTCGGGCCTTGCCAGCTCCTCGGCTCCACAACCGCTCCCACACGGCGCTGCCCCCGCCACAGCCACGTCTTCACACCGGATCCCCCAAGAGCCTCCCACCATAGACCGGAGCCGCACCCGGCCCTGACAGCGCCGGCCGTCACTCACTCGCTCGCTCGTTGACTTGCTCTGCTCTGCGTTGCTCTGCTCTGCGTTGCTCTGCTCTGCGTTGCTCTGCTCTGCGTTGCTCTGCTCTGCGTTGCTCTGCTCTGCGTTGCTCTGCTCTGCGTTGCTCTGCTCTGCGCCTTCCCAGGACTTGGCTGCGGGAGCGGCGATCTCGAAGCGCTTCCCGCCGCGCCGCGCTCGCCCCACGGCTCCGGCAGGGAGGCGGATCCCGGGCGTGCGGGCTGAAATGGACGCGGCCGCGGCTGCCACACGGGCGGGCAGCTGCGCTCCGAGCTGCCCCGCGCTGTTTGTCCATTGGCCGGGGCCCCAGCGCTGTTTGTCCATTGGCCGGGGCCCCAGCGCTGTGCTGTCATTGGCTGAATCCGCCCGGCCGTGGCTCCTCTGTGGCCGTCCCTACGCTTTCCCCGCCTCCCTGCCGCTCTGCAAGCTGCCTCCGGAGGGAAGGAGCGCGCGGCGGCCGCGGGCGTCCGGAAGCGGCGTCCCCTGGGCCGAGGCGGAGCTCTCCGGCGGTGCGGGCCGCGGGAGCGGGGGTTGCGCTGTGGCCGGAGCGGAGGGGGGCGGTGTCCGTGCGAGGGCCGGGAGGGAGCGGGGCCCGTGCGTGCGGGAACGGCGGAGCCGTGGTTGGCCGTGTAGGAGCTCGGGGTGTGTGGAAGGGAACTGCAGCGGGAAGGACGGTGCTGGTGGTAATGGGCCGGGTGTGGGGTAACAGCCGTGAGGTGGTTTCGGGGCAAGGGGCCGAGAGGTTTGCGTGAGGATCCGCCGTGGTTCCCTGGGTCGGGCGAGCTCCTAGCAGCAGTCAGTGGTGCGTGCAGAGGGGCAGGGGTCGGGCAGGCCCAGGGGCGAGGGGCAGCTCCCTCGGCGGCCAGGCACGGGGGAGGTGGGGGTGTTCCATGGGGAATTGCCGGGGTTGCCCGTGGGGGTGGGGGGTGGGGGGAGCGGGGTTCCCGGGGTGCTGCAGGTTCCCGGAGCGCCCGTGGAGGGGTTCGATGGGGCTGCCGCAGAACCGCATCGCTCCCGGTTCTGGTCTTTGGGAGGTTCAGTGTTGCTGGTGAAGGGCTTCCCGTCAAGGTTGTGACCTGAATCGAGGTTTTGGTCTGGCCTCGAAACTGGGTCAAAGCTCCTGTAAGCAGAGTGGAACCTCATATGTACGGGCAAGCACTTGGAGGTGATTTGCCCCTTGCTGTGGAGCTTTGTAGCTCGAGAGATCTGCACGTGTTGGATCTGTGCAAAAGTAAGGCCAGTACGATACCCTGGATGTTTCACAGGGGCCGTTTCCTTCCAGACACTTGCACAGCTCAGGTGTTTTCTGCCTTTGCCTGTAACAGAGCTGGTGCTCTCTAAGGAAAACCCAGAGATTCCACAGGACAGTGTAAACAGAGGTGGCGCTCGGCTGGTGCACCAAGGCTCCTTGTAGTGTCTTGCTTTTAGCCAAAGGCTGTTTATTGCAGAGCCTGCAGGTGTGGGATGGCTGGGTTTGTTGTGTTCGTTCTCAGTTTGTGCTGTTGGAATCTGCTTGTGCTAAATTTGTGATCTGTTTTATACTTAGATGTCACAATGGACACGTGGAGCTTCTTCTCTACTTGCCTGGTGTTCTTATGGCTGCACAGGATTTACGTCGATTCTGCAGTTGCTTTTGGGATCAGCATTTGGATCGTCATTCAGTTCTCCACCTCCAAAGCCCGAGAGAAGGTAACAGAGCATGTAAGTGCTTTGAGAAGAGCCCAGAAATCTGTGTGTGGAAGCGAGCAGTTGCTGGGGAAGGGCAGCCCCTGGTGCAGTGAAGTGTGCTACTTCACTGTGGGCCCACCTGGGCTGTTGCACGTGCCAGCTGTAGTTCAGTGTGTCTGATGGTTGTAATGCTCAGTCTGGGTTGTCTTATGTTTGTGGGTAACTGAATGTCCTTGTTGCTCTGATGTTACAGTAGAACTCATCTGAACGCTTCCCATTTGTTCCTGAGGGAGTGTGTCAGCCTGGGTTCCTCTGTCACTTCAGGCAAATCACTCTGCTTCTGCACGGTGTTCTCACTTTTCCTGTGATGTTAATGATAAGGTTGGGCTGGTTTTGGGACCAGAGCGGGATTAGGCCACTGGGGAACTGAAATCCTTCTCGTTCAGGTGGGTGAAGTTCTGCATGAGTTGGGAAGTTCTTGGCTTTAGTTGGAGCCTGTTAGTGGTGTGCGAGATGAGCGTGTTGTAGCGTGGCCTAGTTCGGAGAAAGCTACTTGTGTGTTTCTGTAGGGTGAGAAACGCTCGAATGCTTTATTCCATTTGCATGTGCTGGGAGTGTGGTCACAGGACTGGAATTTTCAATGCTTGTGGGAAAAAGGGGGTTACCATCGCTTTGAAAAGGGTTGGAATGCGAGACAGTGCTTGTTCCACAGGGTGAAAAACCCACTGGGAATCCTGCTTGTTCTGAAGGGATAGAAGACAAGCTAGTCAATGGATGTGCCACCCTGCAGAGAAAGGAGGTCTATGTTGCCGGGGTAAAGATTTTCTATGGGTCTCAGACTGGCACGGCAAAGGTATGAGTTACTTTTTTCCATGTGCATGACGTTGAGTTGAAATGTTAAGATTCGAGTATGTTGCTTGCCTTAGAAACACTACAGTGTGTAAAAATCAGAGTTCCCTAGGTCATGAGCAGTTGTTGCCCAACAGGAAAGATAAGTGAAAAGTATATAAAAATAAGAGCTTTAAAGTTTAAAGTTTACTCTTACAATATTATAGAACCCCAGCCTGGTTTGTGTTGAAAGGGACCTTAAAGCTCATCCAGTCCCAGCCCCCTGCTACAGGCAGGGACACCTTCCACAAGAGCAAGTTGCTTCAAGCCCCGTCCAACCTGGCCTTGAATATCCTCTTAATTTGCTAGCTGGTCTCCTTAGAGAGAAGTGCTCTTTCAGGTGCTTTTTCAAAAAGAAATGCCATTTGTGTGTGTAAATATAAAATCACTGATCATAAAATTCATGTGATTCTCTTCTTCCAGCCAGTATAGTCTTGCTGTGCTGGGAGAAGTCTTGTCTCTGGGCACAGCAGGGCTTGTTTGACCTTTAAGGTATCTGGGTTGTAGCCCTCAGTCACTGTCTGTGTTTCTTTTTTTCAGAGATTTGCCAGAGTTCTTGCTGAGGCAGTTATTTCCCTTAATGTGCCAGTGGGAGTCATTAGCATGGGAGACTATGATCCAGATGATTGTTTATTAGAGGAGGTAGGTATGCTGTAAATGGGAATAATAAATCCAAGCTTTTCCTGGGATTGTGAAGGCTGTCGTCTTGTATTTTGGTCCAGTTCTCCTGGAAATCCCCAAAGCTGTGTGTTGAAATTTGCTTTCCTTCCATGGAAGCAAGTGCAGTCCATCAGCCCTTGGCACAAAATAGCTAAAAGCTGAAAGTGCTGAGGAAAGGCTCGTGTAGGACATGTGAGGCCGAGTGTGGCTTTGTACAAGCCAGTTCTGTAACTCAGCTGTGAGTGATGGACAGTGTCTGCACGAGGGCCCCTGTTGTGTCTCTGAGAGTGTCCACCTGGGAAGGGTTCAAAACTGGAGTAAGAAGATGGTGATTCTTCTGCAGCTTTTAGACTTGGAAGCTTCTCGTGAGCAGTATTTCTGCTGGGGAATCCTTGATGGATTTTTCTTCTGTCAGTATTGATAGTTGCTTTTTTACTGTATGGGGGGCGTTATTGCTGCAAGAGCGTGTTTTGGAAGCTGTTGATTGGGGTGGGGAAGGTGGGTGTCCCGTTCTATTTTACCACTCCATTAAGCAGGGGGAAGAGAGCTTGCTGTTTTGGTTAATTTAAGATGGCTTTGCAGGGAGGATGGCCATCCACCACTGTGGGGGTTACCACCTGCAGCATCCCACATCAAACACTATTCAGCCAGTCAGCAAAAATCTCATCTTTTGACTTCTTTCAGGTGCCTGCATGTTCCAGCTCTCTTCCTGAAGTGCTCAGAGAAACGGAGTGATCTTTTCTCTTGTGTTCTGTTTCTGTTGTTAGACAAGCAGCAGGAACATCTGTGTGTTCTTGGTGGCTACGTACACAGATAGGCAGCCGACCGAGAGCGCAGCCTGGTTCTGTAGGTGGTTAGAAGAGGCTGCGAAGGACTTTCGCTTTGGGAAAGCCTATCTGAAGGGCCTGAGATATGCTGTGTTTGGCTTGGGAAACTCTGTGTATGTTGATCATTACAACACAGTAAGTATCTCCTGTGCAGCTTTCTTTGACTTCTGCTCCTCTGAAAGGCTGAGCTATCTTAAATGCTACATACCTGCCCATTGCTGGTAGTTTGTGTGAGAATTGGCCCAGAAAGCCAATGGCATTCTGGGCTGCAGCGAAAAGAGCATGGGCAGCAGGTTGAGGGAGGTGGTTCTCTTCCTCTACTCTGTTTTGGTGAGACCCTCCCTCTGTTGCATCCAGCTTTGGGGCAACAACAGGTGGGATGTGGAGCTGTTGGATTGAGCCCCAGAGATGCTGCCTGTGCTGGAGCAGCTCTGCTCTGGAGCCTAAGCTGGGAGAGCTGGGCTGGTTCAGCCTGGAGAAGAGAAGGCTCTGCAGAGACATTAGAGCAGCTCCCAGTGCCTAAAGGGTCTGATGGGAAACCTGGAGAGGGACTTTGGATAAGGGGCTGCAGGGACCAGACAAGGGGGAATGGCTTTAACCTGACAAACAGGAGACTGAGAATGGCCATTAGGGAAAAAATTCTTCCCTGTGATTTTGGTGAGACAATGGCACAGGTCGCCCATAGGAGTGGGCGTACAGCAGTACCTGAGCCTTGTAATGAGTTTCATCTTGGTCAGAAAAACGGCATGACTTGTCACCTGGTTGTTATGTTTGTGTAACTGGAGCCACAGGAAATGTGTTAGGCATGTGGCCATTTTGACCAAGTATAGCATAAAGGAACTTGTTTCCAGAGCTCACCTCTTATCACATGGGTTTGATAGCAGACGTGTTTTCAATCACAGAATGCTTTGAGTTGGAAGTGACCTTAAAGCTCTTTGAGTTTCAACCCCCTGCCACAGGCAGGGACACCTTCTTCTAGAGCAGGTTGCTCCAAGCCCCTGTGTGCAACCTGGCCTTGAACACTGCCAGGGATGGGGCAGCCCCAGCTTCTCTGGGCACCCTGTGCCAGCGCGTCAGCACCTTTCCCCAGGGAAGCATTTGTTTCATAATGTCTAATGCAGGTGTGGTGGTGCTGGGAAGACTGTGAGTGCTCTTAAGGAGGATCTCGGCTTCCTCAGAGCAGCAGCCTGTCCTGCAGTCCTCTGCAGCCCTCTTTCCAGGCTTGGCCCTTGCTTTCTTAGTTGCCTGCTTTGTTTAACTTGGCCTTCATTTAATTTCCCTCTAACTTTGATTTTATCCCAGGTTGGAAGAAATATTGACAGGTGGCTGTGGATGCTCAGCGCCAGCCGGATCATGACTCGTGCCGAGGGGGACTGTAACGTGGCCCAGAGCGAGCATGGCACCATTGAGGCTGACTTTGAAGCCTGGAAAGCCAAGTTCCTCAGTCGGCTTCAGGCCCTCTGCAGAGGGGAAAAGAAGCCCTGCAGTGGGAAGTGCGAGAAAGGGAAGTGCAAATCTCCAGGGAAGCAGAGCAGGGAGAGTTCAGATCATGAACATGGGGTATCGGACTGTGCGAATACTGAGGTAAAGCCAAATCTGTGGGACCTTATTTCTGGTTTAGTGCCCCTTGTGGCACCGTTTGACTTCTCTCCTTTCTCCTGCAGCGTAGAGGGGTGCTGTGGGAGCTTGATACCTCTTTTTTTTCTGGAGCAGAGGGAGAAGAGGGATGAGATCCCATGGCAGATAGCAAGTAGAATAAGCTACCCAAAAAGGACCAGAGAATTAGTGATGGCTGATGGACCTAGGCTAGATGGCATGTGTATGATGAGGGAGTCTTCCTCTTGAGTATAGATGAAGATCTAACGTTTAACATTCAAATAACATTTCTCACTTGGATTTTTGTCTGATCTCTTACACAGGCAGAGGAGTTGTTTGAAAGCAGTAGTGAGGAGGAGGCTGATGCTGAGGAAGCTGGAGGGGCAAGTTCTGTCCTTGATGTTGAAGATCTTGGCAATCTCATGAGGCACATGAAGGAAGCCAAGGTACCACTGTTACAAGGAGTGTGGAACTATGGGGTCTTTGTCAGTGATCAGTTGAATTGATTAAATACACTTGCTGGATTTGAATTGGCTGGAGCTAGTTAAAGGGAGAGTAAAATAGAAGCTACTGGAGAACCTGTCCCCAGACAAGACTATACTTGGAGGTGTGTTGGATATACTTCCTGGCTAACTGGGACGTGTTCACTGAGCAACTACTGCAGTGGTAACCTTTTATTGTGAGTCAGAGGGAAAATGACTTGCACTGTTCAAGATCTGAATCTCCATCTCTGTTACTGCAATTCACCGTCCAGTGTCTAAACACAAATCTTGTTGCTGGATCTGCCTGTGGGAGCTTGATCTGACCTGTGCTGAGCCTGGCAAAGACAGCCATAATCCTGCTTTATGCCAGGGTGTTGCTGTCTCCCTTCCTGTGTGGGTCTGTTCAAGTTTCGTTTTCTGTGTGCAGTCTGGCAACAGAATACATCAGACTCCTTTATCTGGTTAGCACACAGGAAGGAGTGAGAATACACATAGGTACTAGGCTAAGCCTTCCTCTGCTCCCCACACTTTTTACTGGCTGAGCAGTTGGCGGACCTGGGATGACTGTGTTGCCACCTGCTGACTATTTTCCCCTGAGCAATCTTTCTGTGGTGGGCTCTTTCGCTGTGCAGCCTTGAGCTGCTCTCCACCCCTTCCTCAACAAACCTACCTCTGTCTGTGACTGCACCTTCCTTGTCTTGCATGGCTCTGCACTGTGGACTTCTCATAGCTGTTTCCTGAAAGTCCAGGCCTTGGATCACAGGAGGCTGCGTGCTCCAGAGGACAGCACAGGATCTCTGTTCCTGACCTTAGGGAGGGGAAGGGAGATAAAATCCTCCCCACTGCTTGTAACAAGCTCTGTGAGGAGAGTAGCTCCAGTGACGTGGGGCAAGGCAGGCTGCTGTGTGAGAGCTTCTGCCCCTGAGCTTGTATGGACCTGGTGCACTGCAGCTTGCAGGAGCAGATGAAGCGATTGGAGGGAGAAGGGCTCAGTGTCTCCCTGTGTGGCTGTGCTGTGGTCCTTTCTCCTCTCCTGCCTGTGTGTACTCGCCACCAGCGGTCAGTGACAAGTGCTGACACGCAAAGACACTGGCCTGCAGCGATGAGCTGTGGTTTCTGATCTGATGACAAACGGTTGTCCTGCCGTGACAGCTGGGTGCTGCCCTCTTGCCTCTGGAAATGGTGACATCCTGAGGGTGCAGGTGTTGAGGGACTGGAAGTACACTCTTGTGCATGGAAGTGTCCTGGCCCTTTTGCATATGAGCTGTGGTCAGCTGGTGAGAAGGGAGCCCCTGAAGCCATGGATTGTCCTTTCCTTGTCACTGATGCCACTGAGCTGTGCTGCTCTAGTCGTATCTAGGACTTTGGGTTAGTTTTGAACCTTTAAATGATGTAGTTCTCATTCCTGCCTCCTCTATTCCTGTTCTGCACGGCTGATGAGCCTAGCTGTAATCTACATTTCTGGTTTGATGCTTCTGTAACCAGAGCATGTACAGGTGAAAGGGCTTCCAGCGGTGAGTTTATGTAAGTCCTCAGCTCTCTTGAGTGGGGCAGTGGCAGGAGATCGCTCTGTACATATATCCTGAGGAGTCTGAGCTGCTGGCTGTCCTTCATTAGCTGGAGGAGGAATGACTGTATCTGGGTGTTGAATCTCCCAAGGAATGCGCGTGTTGACCCGCAGCAGGTTTATGCAAGCACTTGAACTGTAAAACGGTCCTGTCGGGGCAGTTATTTGCTGTAATTAAAATAAATGCTGAAGACTTGATACGAAAGAGCAGGATGATGTGCATTTATGAAAGTAATTTATCGTGATCAGCCTCTCCTGCTCCCAGGCAGGGAGATTTAGTTGTTTAAATCTCGGTTTAAGTCACATTCTCACTTTAGTGGCTGTGAGTTTGTGCAAGAAGAAGTTTTCTTTTCCACGTGAGCTGCCTCGTCCCTTGAGCCGTTCTCCCTCTTGCAGAATGCTGAACTATGTAAAATGAGTCTGATGCCTGTTTTACACTGACATCATCTGTTGTCTTGCAGTAATCCCTCCTAGCACAGGCAGTGCTTTGGGTTTTTGTAGCTGAACTATCCACATACAAGCTAACAAGTTTAAAGAGAAGTGGTGCACTTCAGGGTTCTATCAGGTGCTTCTTCATACACCAAGTTACTTGGGTTTGAAATGTTCCTAAACAGCTTTGAGCACAGATTTTGTGGATGTCTGTGTTGTTTGTTAACTCCTCTGCAAATAGGAGATGGAATAGGAGGCTCTGCCTGTGCAATATGGTTAGTTTGGCTATATTTAGGGTCCAGCTTTGATGTCTTCTGCAGGCAAGCAGTGCCTCTAGTGAGAATCACTTGTGGATAAGACAGATGAACGGTCACAGATGGTCAGAATTCCTTGTTGTCCTGCTTTTTATGGGCTGTCAGAGTGAAGCTGTGGAGTTTATCTAATCAACGTTTCCTCGCACATCTCTGCAGGCGATCTGAATTTAATTTTACATCCATCTCCTTTTGCCTGACCTGGTGGAAGTGAAGGCTGAGTTCTGTTCTACTGCTTTTTTCCCTATGCTTCACTGCACTTCACGAAGTATCATCAAAGAGCTTGAGACAGATGCTGGGTTCTTGCAGTCATTTGGGTCAGGCAGATGAATTCAGCAGCTGAAGATGAATGCCAGAAGCTCTTTTCCTGTCAGTCGTAGCTATTCTACTTAGGAGCTACTCTCAGGGAGCTACTCTGTCTTGGGAAAGAGGTGGAGTTTCAGAGAGCTTCTGAAGGTGTAGGTGCACAGTTGAAGGTGCTGGTGCCTTTTGCACACTGAGTCTGAGCACAAAAATTGGCACGAGGTTGGGTGGCAACAGGAAATCATTCAAATAATATAAAATGATGGCTGATACAAAAGGAAATCCCACACTTGGTTTACGAAATCACGTACTGTGTGGTGGGGACTGCTTCAGAGCTGCTAAAAGCCAGGCTTTTGTTTGCTGAGTAATTCAACATTTGGAACTTGCTGCAGGGGATATAGTTGCAGATGATGCTGGTCAGGGTCCTGAGCTGGACCCAGACTTTGATGTGAGTGCAGTGGTTGATGCCTGTGGTTTCATGAGGGGAATTTCCTGAGGGGGTGGAAGGTGACCAGTGGGTAATAGGAGTGTGGCCTGAAGGAGGCCTGGGGAGCTCTGAGGCTGCTTCTGTTGGGTGCCTGGTGATCCAAGGCTGTGGTGCCAGGAAGGGATGGATGATGCACAAGTAGGTGGGTGAAGGTCTGGGCTTTCTCTGCATTTGCCACCCTTCCAGCTGCTTGCTTCTAGGCCTAGAACCTGTTCTCCAAATGGCTTTTATGCACCAGGAGAAGGCAGTGGTGGTTCTTGGTGAATTTAGTAACTAAGTGGACTTCTACAGTTGTGGCACATTTCCCCTGTCCTCCAAAGTTACTTCCCTGAAATGTATTTCTTTTCCAAGGAAAGAAAGTGCAGGGTTCCCCCTGTGGAGGCTGAGCTGCAGGTCTGCTTGAACAGCATCCTTCCTTTGGCTGGCAGCTAGTACCTGCTGCCTCAGCATGACGTGAGGGACCTTCTGTTACTCTGCCGCGTGGGGAGAGATGTGTGGATGGGGACTTCCTTCCAGCTGGTTATGGCATAGTCACAAAGGTTTGTGTTCCAGGAGTAAAAGTCTCGCTTCCGAGAGAGCTTCTCAGGGGCCTTCCCCAGTTCAGGGACACTTCCTGAAATACATGCCATGAGATTTGCTCTTGATCAGGACACTTCCTCTGGCAGTGCTGAGGGGTAATGGATTGCCAAGATCCCCATCTCTCAGCTGTCATGCTTCAACCCTTGTCTGCTTTTTGCTTGAGGCTTCTGTGCTTAACTGGAGCGGGTATGGAGCTTGTGTTTCTGTCGACTCTAGCAGCTACTTCTAACGAGGTTTTCCTGGTGTTGGGGTATCTGCTGGTTCACAGATGACTCAGTCCAAGGTTCCAGCATTCGTCTTTGTGCTCACTTGCAAATGCTCAAAGCCATTCTCCCTGTGACTGAGAGCAGTGAGAGTGTCCCGTGCTGTGTGAGACTGGCAGGGCCTTTCATCTGTGGGCTGAGCAAACTGCAGTGCTGTCAGCATCTCTTCAGCTGGGTTGTGGCAGCCAGAGCTTTGTACCTGGAGCAGGAAGAAGCCCACATGCACTTGCAGGGTTCTGCTCTTCCGTTGGGTTCAGGAGTAGCTGTGTGGAAGTCTGCTCCCTGTCCCGGTTTCTCCCCATATGTGTTAGTCCTGTAGAAGGCTGTTTTGCAAGGATCCAAGTGCTGTTCCTGTGGGCAGCCTGATGTCTAATCCAGTTTTCTGACCCCCCCAGGTGGTTCTTGCCTGTGGTGCCACTGAGAGATGAGCCTGAACTAAGGGACAAGTAGTCAGCTTTTCTAGCTGTCCTCTTGCCACTGCAGTATTGCTTCCAGAGCTCCGTGGGTGTGAACTTCAGTTCTTCATTCATGTAATCCATGAACTTCAGTGCTGCATTTAACAGCTCCACTGGGAATGTTGTAGCAGTATTCCTTGCTGCCAGGCAGGCTTTCTGTCTGTTATTATTGTTTTCTTCAAGTCTGTGTCTTTCATTGATTAAAAGGCCCTGGAACCTTTTGATGGATGGGACCACGAGAAGGTGAGGGTTTCTCTCCTGTTTGGTGTCTGGGAGGTTAAGTAGGAAAGATGTTCAGGCAGAACTGGGATATTCTGGGTGTCATTTTCCTTCTGGGAGTAGAAACTTCTTGGGAAGGTGATTTTTCAGCCAAGGCACATGAGTGTATCGAGCCATGTGGCTAAAAATGCTCAATTCAGTTAACTTAGGGAATGCTACCTTGCATGGTGTTTAGGTCTCCTATTTTTATTTTTTTTTTTTTTTTGCACCTCTGCAATATTAGTTTGAAGAGTATTTGATGTAATAAGATCGAAAAGACATGGATGTAATGGGCAGCTTGGCTTCCTGGAGAAAGCACATCAGAGGGGAGAAGTGGCAGTTGTATGTCCCGTGGTCACATTTGGATGTGGCAGAGGATGAGTTTGGAAGGTGTATTTGTAGGAAATCTTTTGAAACGCTTGAACTGAGATTTGTCAGAGGGGCAGCAACACCTCTGCCTTGGAGCTCCAACCCCTGCCACAGGCAGGGACCCCTTCCACTGGAGCAGCTTGCTCCAAGCCCCTGTGTCCAACCTGGCCTTGAGCACTGCCAGGGATGGGGCAGCCACAGCTTCTCTGGGCACCCTGTGCCAGCGCCTCAGCACCCTCCCAGGGAAGAGCTTCTGCCTAAGAGCTCAGCTCAGTCTCCCCTCTGGCAGGTTCAAGGCATTCCCCTTGGCCTGTCCTTACAGGCCCTTGTCCCAAGCCCCTCTCCAGGTTTTCTGCAGCCCCTTTAGGCACTGGAGCTGCTCTAAGGTCTCCCCTTCAGGAGCCTTCTCTTCTCCAGGCTGCCTCAGCCCAGCTCTCTCAGCCTGGCTCCAGAGCAGAGCTGCTCCAGCCCTCGCAGCATCTCCATGGCCTCCTCTGGCCTCTCTCCAGCAGCTCCACGTCCCTCTTGTGCTGCTGCCCCAGAGCTGGATCAGGGCTGCAGGGGGGGTCTCCCCAGAGCACAGCAGAGGGGCAGGATCCCCTCCCTGAGCTGCTGCTCACACTCTGGGGGTGCAGCCCCGCACACAGGGGGTTCTGGGCTCAAGTGCACACTGCAGCCAGGTCATGGGGAGCTTCTCATGGACCAACAGCCCCAAGTTCTTCTTGTCAGGGCTACTTTCAGTCCATTGTCCCCCTGCCTGTGTTTGCGCCTGGAATTGCCCCAGTCCACATGCACATCCTTGCCCTTGGCCTTGCTGAGCTTCATTAGGTTCCCACAGAATGCTGAGGTCCTTGCCTGTGTCTGTGCCCTGTGTCTGACATCCTCTGCTCTTGACCCATCAAAAATGGGCTTCTGCTTTCACTGTGTGCTGCTGCTACTGCCTGTTGCTCTGCCTGTATAGCAGTGAAAGGGAAGAGGTGGGATTTTGCCTTCACCTGTAGGGGAGGTGATCATAAGTCCTTAGACTTAAAGCTCAGTTGCGTTTCCTCAGGTGTGCTTCTATGGCAGTAGCAAAACCCCTTCCTGCAGCCTGTAGCAGGAGCTGTGCTGAGCCTGGAGGTACCATTGGAGTGTATCCCCAGGTTTTCTCATCCTTTGTCAGTGCAGACCAGAGGATGACTCCTGAGTTTTTTGGTGGTGTGGTGTTTCCAGGGCCTGAGAAGCTGGCTTTTATCACTGCTTGCTTGCTTTGTCATGGAAAGACTGTCATTTGCCTTGGGTTTGCTGCAGGACTTTCTGCTAAATCCCCAGGACTGGAGATGTTTGCTCTGTGCAAAGGTAACTTTGCTTTTGCCACTCAAACCCTCAATAATAGATATGAAAGGTTTCTTAAGCAAGTAAGTAAATCTCCCAGGGGGTGAATTCTGTTTCCCACAAGAAATACCTGAAGCCAGTCACTTGCCAAACTGAACAAGTCAGGTGGTGCAGCTCAGAGAAAAACAACTGATTATTTTCCTTACAGGCTTTCCATGGGGACCGGGGAGGGGAATTGTCATCCCTGTGAGGAAAAATGAGTATTGGAAAGTGTTGCTGCCTTGCCAGAAAGGCAGTTTTCCTTGTTCTTACGTTCAGATGGTTTCCTCAGACACTGCTGTCAGAGGCACTAGAGGCAAACCCTTGATACTCAGATGGACCTTTCCTGTATCGGAAGGCTGTCTTGGGCAGGATGTTTCTTTTGTACTTAAGTCAATCACTGCAATTTTAATACTATGATGGCAGGGGGTTGGAACCAGATGTGACGCTCCTTAAGGTCCCTTCCAGCAGAAACCATTGTATGATATGATTCTGTGTGCTCCGTAATGCAGGTTTGGTTTTTCTGGGAGAATTAACCTGGCATGAGACTGTAGATCAGACAGGCCAGGATGTGTCCACTTCTAAATCCTGCATAGCATTTTGCTCAGAGTAGCTCACAAATCTGTGCTCAGATGGTGCCTTTCTTTCCCAGTTGAATGGCTGGGCCTAGTTCTGGGTTAAATGGTAGCCGGTGGGAGGAGAAGCTCTTAGTTTAATACTTAATAGTAAAAAGATGAAGATCTTATCTCCTTCCTTCCTTATGTGTGGGCCCGATGCAAACCTCATGAGGTTGGGCAAGGGCAAGGTCCTGCACCTGTGTCAGCTCAATCCCAAGCACAAACACAGGCTGGGCAGAATGGATGGAGCAGCCCTGGGCAGAAGCACTTGGGGGTGTTGGGTGACAAGAAGCTCCCCATGATTGAGCTTCAGTGTGCACTTGAGCCCAGATCCCCCCCTATTTCCTGGGCTGCACCCCTGGACCCTTGTCACTCCAGGCGATGTTTTGTTCCCTCTGGTTTGTGCTCTGTGGAGAGATGAGGTTATTGTGCAGCCATGAAACACTTGGGCTTCAACCCTGGGGGTCACACTCAATCTCACATGAGATTCAAACAGCTTGTTTCTTAAAATGCTCTAGAGAATGTTACTAAATCACAGACTCACACACCGGTTTGGGTTGGAAGGGACGTTAAAGCTCATCTAGTTCCACCCCACCTTCCTTCCACTAGCCCAGGTTGCTCAGAGCTGGTTGCTGTCTTAGTAGAACAAGTCCACCTGGTTTCTGGTGTGGTGTTTTATTTATTTATTTAAGTGTGTTTTCTGTCTTAAATGTAAAACTGAAAGGTCAGAGTCTGATGGGAAGAGGGGTAAAAAGCAGAATTACAGGAATGCAGGAATTAATGTGTAGACACTTGTGTCAGTTTTAAGCTGAACAGGTCTGTGGCTGAACTATGCCACAGCGTTGAAACTGTGATGCTTGGATCTAAATGGTTGTAATTCCTTGTCTTTAAACAGAGAGGACTTGAGCTGGAGGAAGGAGATGTTGGAATGAGCTTGACTCAAGAGAACCCTGGGAGGAAGGAGGAGGGTGGGAAGCGAGAGATGATAACCCCAGCTCTGAGAGAAGCGCTCACAAAACAAGGTGAGGTTCTGCAAAGAGCAGATGGTGGCCCAGGATTTGAAGTCTGTGTGGTGGCCTTTTAGCAAGCCAAGTGACAGATGGTGTTCTTTGTTAGAGGTGCTGCTGTGGCCCCTCAGTCATGGCAGGCTCTGAGCAGGGGCAGGAGAGGGCTGAGGCAGGGGCTGTTGGTCCCTGATCATTTCAGGGAGGAACCTGAAGCTGGGTAATACATCTGAGTGTGATGCACTCTGAGTGTGGTGAGTGTATCAGAGTTCAAAGGGTTTAATGTAGCTGCTAAGCAGCTTGGGAGAGAAGATGATAGTCCACATGCCTTCAGCTCCGAGAGTGTGTGTTCCTCAAAGACTACTTAAAGATCAGCTCTAACCCTGCTTTTACTTCTGTTTCAAACTCTGATTTTGTTACTGAAACTTCATTTCCAGAGAAGAAGGTAGTTCGAATGAGCTTTACCAATCCACTGATGATCAGATCAGTGGCCTTCCAACAAGCTGTAGTGAACTTAATCAATTAATTAAGCCTTTTCAAAACAAAGGAGGACAAGCTTGAGAAGAGCTGGACCGAGGGCCCTGCAGTTCAGAAGCCTCAGTTCTGAGTGGCAGATCCAGGAGAAGGGTGATGGGAGCTTCTGTTCAGTTGGAGGCTGAAGGCAGTTTAGTTTAATTTCTTTTATTTCTTAGGATGAGAATGCATTCAATTTTTCTTGCTTGCTAAATCAGTAGAATGTCTCCTGATGCTGCTGAGAACACAGTTCTGCTACTGCACTGGAGGCACCTTGCTTCAGAGCTGGGCTCTGATTTTCTGTGTCCTGTGTGAGACCAGCAGCTGTGGGATCCCAACACCTTTGACCCCCAGGACTGGAGCTTGAGCTTTTATAGGTGACTGGTGATGTGTTTGCCCATGGTCATTGGAGTGGGCTGCTGGAGATGGGGCTGTCTAGAACTGGGCATCGGGGAGGGAAGTGTTCTTGTCTGCAGCAAGTCCCCTGCTTCAGAGGCTGGAGGGGCTGCTGCCTCTATGGAAGGGTGCACCAAGTCCCTCAGGCAGCTCAGGTGTTGCTTTGCCCCACAGGGACCTGAGATGGGCTGGGGACACTGCCCTGGCTGTTCTGTGGTGCAGGGTCTGTGCTGGCTCTGCGCTGTGCCGTGGCAGTCACAGGGGTGTTTCACACTGGTTCACTTTCTGACCGCGTCTGTATTGGTTTGGTTTAGGGCAGTGAATGAAACTGTGCTTTTCTTATGGTCTGTAGAAGTGGCCACTTGGAGAATGAAAGCGATGCTGGAGGGAAGGTCACCTTCCTGCTGTAATTTTGTTTTTACTGCAGTCCTGTCTCATATCTTCTGTGCTGCTTTGAGTTCATGGCAGCAAAGTCCTTCCACAAATCACAAGACTTTTGTGCTTTTCAAAAACACTTTCTTGAAGACTGAGCAGAGCTAGGAGTGAAGCTGGGTGTTTCTCCATCATGCTCGGGCAATCTGAAAACTTCCACTGCCCAGGTTCCACTTCCTTCTATATTTGTATAAAATAGTGATATAGTTGGAAGAGGTTCCTTTCAACAGCAGTATTTCTTGTTTTCTTTTCCTTACTAATTTTCTGGCTTTATCAGAACACTGTCTTTTGGGTGGTGGTTCTGTTGCAGCAGTTGTGTTACCACTTCAAAAAAGCACCTTAAATCAGTGGTGATGGGTTACTGCTGTGTGTCAGTGACTTCAGCTCAGGCCCTTTTAAACTGCACTCTGGCAGAAAACTGATCTTTTTGCCTGTAAAGAGTCTCCTAGTGTGAAGTTCCCCTTTCTGCACTGAGTTTCAGCTTCAATAAATAATCAGTGCTTCAAAGAAGGCAGCTTTTATTTAAGGAGATGGCTTGATAGAACCACACTGATTTGCCAGTTCTGTGTTACTTGCAAGAAAAGCCTTCCGAAAGTGATTTGAGTTTGTGAAGACATCGTGACACCAGACTGGCTTTCACCAAGCTAATGGTGCCTGCACTCTTAGAGGAGGATGGGTAAGTCTCTTTTCTGGTACTTTTTGAGGATTTTCTCAACCCCTGCTCTCCTTCATCCTTTCATAATTAAATCTTTTGCTCTGTGCTGTCAAAGGCTTGCCTGTAAAGCAGCTTTTGGTGGTGTAGAGATCTGAACTGGAAAGTGTCTCTGGGTTTCTTTCTGGACATTTTGCCACAATCAAATAGTCAGCAGTCCTCAAAAGCAGTTCACAAGTTGTACTTGTAGAAATTTGACTTATCTGTTCTGCTTGAAAAACTAAAATAGCATAATAGCTCGTGTATGCACAAAATTCATAAGTATTCAGAAGCTTAGAAGGACATGCTATGGGTATGGCACTGGTAAGCGATCAAAACCAGAATACCTTGGATATCCTGGAACATGACATGGGTATGTAGTTGGCAGTGTCCTGCCTCTGTGGCTGAGGGTACCGCAGGGTCCCTCAATGAATTCTTTGACTGGTTTTTAGGGACTTTGAGCAGAGTTGAAATGCTGCAGTGCAGTTTCAATGGTCACAGGAATGTTTTGCCCCAGACAAGGGAGCAGTCAGCATCTGTGGTGCTGGCCATCTCTTCAGCTCAAAATCTGCCCATGGCCTATTAAAGTCCAGTTGGATTGTCAGGGCCAGCAATCAGCAAATATTTATCAGCTTAGTGTTGCTGCATGATAACACTCCCTTCACCCAAAATCTTAATTCATGTCTTCCTGTAGTAAATAAAATGACAAGTTTGAAGCTTGGCAGGCTTCTAGCTCATTCAGAGTTTATCATCTAGAGCAGGATCAACTAATATACAGACTTAGAGAAGACTTTAGTCAGGAGTTGAGATGTTTACTATAAGCCTGCTTACAATTTAAGGATTCCTTTGAATATTAGGCTTTAGAAATTGTAAGTGGATTGTGTTTGTTCAGCCTTAATATCTGGAGATGCATCAGGATGGTGAGCAGAGTCCCATGAAGACAACAGTCTGTATTGTTTGGAAGGTGTTGTATCCAAATATTCAGTTAGAGTGATTGCTTATGAGTAATATGCCTTAAGAGCAGAGAAGTGAACGTGTTCATGGGGAGTCCTGTCGGGTTCAGAGTTCTGGGCCATTGGTAAGGTTTGATTTTTCCATCATTGCCCTTGGCAGAGCCCCAGGGAAGTTGTGGCAAAGGTGGTGGAAGAGATGAGCTGGCCTGAGCTTTCACCAGGGTTGTTCATCAGAAGCTGCAGTGGGGAAACAGAACTGAGAAGCCCCTCAGACTGATTCTTGGACACATGTCCTCACATGTTTGGTTTGGAGCTTAGCACTGCTTGGTCTTGCTTAAACCTTTGTACTTTGTTTTAGCCCAGACTGCCCTGGCTGCCTGTGTTACTTGCCAGCCATAAAGCAGGTGCTTGAAGAAAGAGGCTCTGCAGAGCAAGAAAGACTCTGCTCACTAGGAGCAGATGTGTAACAAATGTTCTGATTGATTTAGTTTATCTAACTTCCAAGTCTGAAAAAGCATGGGGTGGCCAGTGCTCACTGTGGAGGCTTAGCAGGGTCACCACCGTTTCTGTCAGTCACCTACATGGTGAAGGCCCAAGTTCAAGAGCTTCATGCAGTGGTTTTGAAGTTCTGCAAGTATGTGCTGTTTCTTCTTGTAACCATAGCTGAGACTCCTGGCAGCAGCAAACACAATGAGTAAACCCCTTCTCATCACTAAAGCTGGCTGAAATTTGTAAGACTCTGTTTTGATGTTGAATGGGTACAATTTTCTTGGCCTTAGGAGAAAGCTGTGGACTCCCCACATGATGGAAGTTGATTTAAGTAACTAAAGAGCTTGGCACCTTGCTCAGTTTAGCTGCTTCCTCTCTTCCCTCATACAACTGGGTAGCAGATCTGGGTGAGCATGTCCCATTTCCAATTTAATTTTAACCTAAACCCCATTTTAAAGCATCCATCTGACTTCTACTGACAAGAGATCTGTGAGAGAATGATCTTACATGAACACTGTTGCTGATTCTGAAAAGGGAACGTATAAGGCCGAGGCTGTGCTGGGTGCCATCAGCAAGAAGCCTGCCTTGGGCAGCTACAGTAGAGGGAGCAGGAATGCAGCATCCTTTTCACTTTTGGCAAAGGTTTCTGGTCAAGAGGACGCAAACTTTAGGTGCACATGGTGGTCTCAGCTGAGATTAGACCTTGCTGGACAAGCCTGTTTGCAAAGACATGCTGAAGGAGTAAGTAGGACAGACTGCAGGTGGGAGAGATGATGTAATGCAGCCAAATGCAGTTGTATGTTTGGCCATCCCTCCAAGTTGGTCAGAAGTTGCCACAGGGTCTTCTGGGTCTCATCCAGTCATAGGTAAAGATGTCCCCAGTATTACGTTTGGCTTTTGAGACTATAAGTTCCATGTTAGAAGTGCTGATGTCTTTCTCCAGGAGAGGTCTGGGTGATGTGCCATATAGAATACCAAGGCTTTTTTGGCTTGCAGTAGTTCTTTCTTCTATTCTGTATAGGGGTTTATTCATTTAGGGAGGAAAAGGGTGGAATATTGTCCATTCCCTCAGAGCTGGATGGGGAGAGGGATCTCAGGACATAGGAGCAGCCTGACACTGATGTCCCCAAAGCCCTGCTTAATGTGGCAGTTGGCCCCTTTGCCATGTAACAGGGGGTCTGCACTGCCTGCTTCTGCAGCCACTCCCCCTGTGCTGTCCATAGAGTCTCTTGGAGAGTCGCTTCAGGGGACTGGTCAGGCTAAAACTGCCTGTGTCCTAACCCCCAGCAAGGATAGAACCGGTGTGAGGAGGCAGGAGTGTCCTCAGCCACGTGGGCATCTTCGTCTCCACACAGTTTAATTTTGAGCTGGTGCAGCTCTCACTGTAGTTTGTGGCTCAGTGTCCTCGGAGCTGTGGGGGACTTTGGGGCACAGGCACACTCCCCTGGGACCTCACCACGCGAGAGGCACATGGTGACATATGAGCAGGCTCAGTGTGCTACTTGCTGTGGGAGATGAAGGGCAGTTCTGCTGAGCAGAAGGCTTTTTTCCCCTGTTAATTTAATGCTGGTTGGCAGGAAGGAGGCTTGATACCTTAAAGCTGATTTTTCTCTTGGAAGCGTTAATATAAATGTCCGGCTAAAGCAGTCAGTTGAGATGTGCTGGTGTGGGGACAGCCAGGCCATCGATGTGTAAGTGCTGCCGTGTGAATGACACGAGTCAGGCTTCTCAAATCCCTCTTGTTTTTATGTTGGGTTTTGAAGTGACTTTTAATCCTTCAGACATATTGGTCCCTAGGCACATTTTTCAAAGAAAAAAAAAAAAAAAACAACGATTTGAGCAGTTTGGGTAATAATAGTGCTTAGTGCTTAACAAATGCTGTGGAATTAATCTTCCTGGGCCAATAAATTGAAATGAAATTGTATTGATCTTGATTGAGGAGCAAGGAAGAGATGTGAAATGAGCTTTCCTCTGGGCATAACGCAGCGGCTCCCCCTCTGCAGCTCCTTCATGGCCAGTGAAGGTGGAACTGGTGAATCTGTGAAGTTTGGGTTCAGGCTGAGCCCTGCATTGTGGTTCATTGCCTCTGCCCTCCCTGCTGAATCAGATGTCTTCCAGGCTGGTCAGACCTACCAAGAAGCAGTGGGAGTTAGGTCTCTGTGGTTCTGGGGAAAAGTCTTTTCTGGGATGATGGCTTAGGGATGGGAGGAGATGCTTCTGGTTCCCTGTCCTGCTCCTTCCCACATCCTATCCCTCTGGGGTCGGAGGTGTTCCACATCGCTGGGCTAGACCTGTTAGTCTGCCTTCCTGTCACATGGAGAAGTCTTCTGGCCACCCTCTGTTGATTCAAGCAAGACAGAGCAATATAAATAAATACCCAGTGAGGAGAAAGTGCTCCTTTGGGCAGCCATGGCCTTTGCTCCCATGTGCTCCCAGAAGGAAATGGAGAATACTGTGAGTGTGTATCATCACCTTGGGCCAATGGGAAAGAGCAGTGCTGAGACTGTGATGCTGAATAATTTGGTGTACCAATTGGCATGTTTTGTGTTGTGAGTTATTGCAGGTTCAAATCAATAGTTTGATTATTGTTTTGTTGGTTTCCAGGTTACAAGCTGATTGGGAGCCATTCTGGGGTGAAGCTCTGCCGATGGACAAAGGTAAATGCTCTCTTTCCTTCTCTCGTTTTCTAAATTGAAATTAGAAAAGTAGACACTTACTCAGGTAGTGCAATTTCCAAATGAAATATTGTTTAAAAAAGCAGTATTACATTAATGAAGCCAAGTTTCATCTTCCAAGCTGTAGTTTTACATTCCAAGCTATTAAAATCCTGCTGCAAAGAGTGAGCATGTGACCGTGACCAAGAGCTGGGGATATAATTTTCTGTTGTTTTTCCTGTTATTCTGCTGTCTGCTAAAGTAACTCCTGCCTCGGGAGGTACACAGCAGGAGCAGAACACCACACAGAGAAGTGGGAAGGTTTCATCACCACTGTGAGGTCCCTGAAACAAAGATGCTGCAGTCTGTCATTCCACTGGAATGGGCACACTAGGGTGTTTGAACCTGTTGTTGTGGGACTGTGACCACAGTCTAGTGGGGATGGGATGGAGTAGCCCTGAGGAGAAGGACTTGGGGATTTGGGTGACAAGAAGCTCCCCATGACCTGGCTTCAGTGTGCGTTTGAGCCCAGAACCCCACTGTGTGCTGGGCTGCAACCCCAGGGCATGAGGAGCTAAAGCAGGAATGGAATGTAAAGTGCTCTAGACACTGACATTGGTTACAGGCAGTGGCTTTGACTCAGATTCACACCAGTATGTGAGTGTCTTCAGGAGGTTTGTTTGAGGTTTGTATCGGGTGAAAGCAGGAGCAGGGCAGGAAGGATTAGTTTTGAGTTTCATAGTGGTAGCTCAGATTAAAAAGACTGTGTTCTGTCGTATGCTGGGAAACAGCCTCAAAGCTGCAAATTTTAGGAAGAGTGTTGATTTGCCTGTTTTACAAAATCCAGAATATCATAGAATCATAGAGTGGTTTGGATTGGAAGGGACCTTAAGGCTCATCCAGATGCAACCCACTGCTGTGGGCAGGGACACCTTCCACTAGAGCAGCTTGCTCCAAGCCCTGTCCAACCTGACCTTGGTCTCCTAGAATTTGTGAATCTCCTGAAGTCTCTGTTGTTTGAGGAACGGGTGGAATAACCAGCATTTCCCATTTTGTTTAGTTTTCCAACTGCATAGCAAGGCTGTGCATATGTTGGGGGTCACCTGCGTGTTCTTTCCCCACTGCTCAGTGAAGACTTTCCTTTGGATCGCCAGGACTCCTCAGGTGGAGGAAGGTAGATTGAAAGGTACCATTGTCACAGTGTGGCAAGGGGTTGGAACTGGATGAGCTTTAAGGTCCCTTTCAACCCAAAGCAGCCTGTGATTCCATGATCTGTGTGCTATGCACTTCTTCCCCCAGGGTGCATCTGTCTTCATTCTGAGCTGCTCTGCGATGTGCTCTTGCTTGCAATGTGTGTCCCAGGTGACTTGGACACCCAGGTTTTTAGTGACTGAAAACTGCAAATGTGCCTGGGGAGCAGATTTAAAGCTCTGCCCTCAGCCTGATGTTCTTGGGATTTGTTTGTGTCTTTCTCTGCTGTTAGTCGATGCTCCGAGGCCGAGGAGGCTGCTCCAAGCACACATTTGATGGAATTGAGAGCCACCGCTGCATGGAGGCCACCCCGAGCCTGGCCTGCGCCAACAAATGTGTCTTTTGCTGGAGGTAAACTCTGCTGCAGTTTTACTGTGGGACAGGGGCTCTGTTCCACTCTGTCCCTGTGCTGTTCCTGAAGCCTAGGGCAGTGTTACTTGTGTGCGCCTTGAATTTGGAAGTTGGTGGAGGATGGGTTTGAAAGGGAGCAGGTCGCTCCCCCTTCCTGCCTGTACTCCTCCTCTTCCAAGAGCTGCTGGAGCCCATGGGTGTGGGGTGGTCGGATTTGAGCTGGGTGGGTGGGCTCCACATCTGGGAGGCTGAGGAGGTGCCACCTTCCCTAGAGCTGTGTTCTCTGTCAGACTGGCTGGGAACCAGTGGAAGGAGGAATTGGGGAGGCAGGAGACACACACCTCTCCATGTACTGCTCTGCAATTCCCACTCGGTAGAGGTTCGGTTCCCTCTGGAGATCACTGTCTGAGATTCCGTGTGGCTCCTGATGCTCTAGAGAACATGAGCTGGCCCATCTAGTGCAAAGCCACCAAGGTGCAAAGCAACATGAGTATCTTTGGTTTGAAATTGGACTGTTTTTCTTACTTCAGGTACCTTCATCCCCACCAATTCAGTTGCTGATGACTTGGTAACTGTTGCCTTCCTAAAGCAGTATCTAATAGATGACTTTCCATTCTAGTCGGTAAAGTGACCCCTCTTCTTAGGGGAATGACTTTGTTAGTTCTCTAAAGGCAGTGAGCTCTGCCTGGATGGGAGCGGTGAGCAGCTCCAGCCGTGCTTACTCACTGGGCTGCCAAGGGAGGGTTTTGCCAGGCTGGGAGGGCGCAGGATGGGGTTGGTGAGAGACGCTCAGCAAAAACCAAAGCAGTGACGTGGAAGCGCGCTGAGTGCGAGGACGTGGAGGTTATTCTTTGAGCTCTTTTGTCTTGCCAGCTAACTCACACGATGGGGCTTGTGCTTCCTCTGGTATTCCCGCCTTCCCCAGGGACCTGGTTGCCAGAAATACCCATTCCATCCCAAAGGCTGAGTGTGCATGCAAACCCAGCCAAATTCCTCCTGAATCCCACTTTTTCTGTTTCATAGTCTTCAAGTTTTAACAATGGAAATACTTCCTGAGGATACTGAAATGGCAGCATTAGCGCAGAAGGACTGCTAGAATTTTGGAGACAATTTTGGAGAAGCTGTGTCCCATGTTAGTGTTGGGTGTAAGCATTAGACACTGGTCATCCTGTGAAGTTTGCTTTCTGAAATGTTAATTGGGGCTCTTGATGGGCTTTCATCATATCCTGGCTTGAACGAACGCAGCAAATAGCAAGTTTAATGTGCAAGTTTTGCTGCTTTTCTTTAGAGCAATTTAATGGCTGGGAAGGAAACTGTACTGCTTGTGTCTTTTGTCTTCCTTTTTTTTCATGTATCAGCTAGCAGTGGTGCATTTAATTCTGCAGGGGTGACTGGACTGGTAGGGAGAGGATTGCCGTGCATTTTGTCCCTCTGGCCCTACACAGCAGGTACATCATAAACAGCAAATAGAAAGCAATAGCGTTGTCAGAGCGAGGAATTTTGCTCCTGGTACTGCACTGCAGATCATTTTACACTGTTCCCCTCAAACTGACCCACTTGATATTACTTGGCAGCACAGCAGCAGCAGCAGCCTGTGTCTGGAGTATGGGGCAGAACCAGGAAGTCAAACAAGTGTCAACTGAACAGTGCAGTAGCTGGGATAAATCTCCATGCGTGATACATTCCAGGTGCCTCTGCCTCATCATCCCCTAACTGTCGTTTGTCACTTTTCAGAGGAAATGTGGAAACAGTAGCCCTAGTGATAATGAAAGCTGGAATGCTTATTTGACTAATGGCAACAACCTGAATGAATGAAACATCTTAGCAGGGGACGGAGCTGAAAAATACTCTCATTTATTTATCTCCTGTGAAACGGGTTGCAATTGTTTTTCTTCCATATGGACTGCAGCTGTCTGTCTGCTCTTCTCAGACCTCTGCTGAGTCGGAAGACTTAAGGCTCAGTTTGAGACACATCCCAGGGCTCACTTTATGTACACCTTAGGCTTGACATAAATCATAAACCCATAGATAGTTTGTCTTGGAAGGAACCTTAAAGCTCATCCAGTTGCAACGCCCTGCCGCAGGCAGAGACCCCTTCCACTGGAGCAGCTTGCTCCAAGCCCCTGTGTCCAGCCTGGCCTTGAGCACTGCCAGGGATGGGGCAGCCACAGCTTCTCTGGGCACCCAGGCCAGCGCCTCAGCACCCTCACAGGGAAGAGCTGCTTAACATCTCAGCTCAATGACTTAGGACCTTTCCTTTCTAGTGATATGTGTAGCTGTGGTCTCAAATGGAGGTAGAACCTCTTCTTCTTTCTTTGCAGAGGTCTTTCTTGCTGTAGAGCATCATTTTGGCTTAAAGACCTTTTACCTGTGATTCAAGATAGGTCTGTCAAGTTTCATATAAACTGCGAGGTCCATTCTTCCTTCTGGGGGAACCAGAGCCTAGGAGTATAGCAATATGAGAGTGGTGTTCAGAGATGACATATGAAAGCTGTGTCAGAAGCAGGATATAACTGAGAATTTCTTGTTGCCTTTAGTATTATGAAACTATGTCAAAGTCCCTAAGGTGTCAGATGGGTCCTTCCCATGTGTGTTACAAATGACAGTGAATAACTCTGTCTCTCTTTTCCTTCAGACATCATACAAATCCAGTGGGCACAGAGTGGCAATGGAAGATGGACCAACCTGAACTGATATTGCAGGAGGCTATTGAGAACCATCAGAATATGATCAAGCAGTTCAAAGGTAACTTTTCCCACTTCTTCCCCGTGAGTGATGCTTTTGGAAGATAAGCAGCATCAGCATCTGCAAAGCAAATCCCTGGAGGTATTTAAAAAGGGACGTGGTTTAGCGGTGCACTTGGCACTGTGGAACTGACAGTCGGGATTGGTGATCTTTTCTAACCTAAATGATTCTATAGTTGTATGAAATGCTGGGAAGGAGGCATGAGATTTTTAATACGAGAAAGAGAGGTGAGAAGAAACTGTTGTGGCCCACCTTGTTTTCTGGGATGTTCTGCCTTGGTTTTGACATCAGAACATGAGTCAGCCGTTGGGTGTCTACTGCTGCCTTAAGGGATTAGTGTGGAGTTACTTCTTGTGCATCTTGGTAATTGTCATATCCTTTTATTTGGAGTGCACAGAGGCTTCCACAGTGCTTGAGGCTAGCCTGGGTGGTGAGGAATGTGGATTCTTATGGAAAAGTGGGGGCAGGCAGAAGGCAAAAGGAATCCCCCTGTAACCTGATAGGAAATACACTGCTGAAGCTTAATCCACTGGGAGCTTTGTGTTAGCTCTGAAACTTAGGGATTGTGTTTTCCTCATGAATGGATGAGCACTTATATTTTCCGGAATTATTGAGGAGATCTGTTTGTGACTGAAGCTGCACTTACACAGCACCAAATACCGCACTTTGCTTCCCATAGGAACGCTTTGTGAGTTTGTTATTTCTTCTAGATTGAGATTAGCCATTAGGCACAAATTCTTCCCTGTGAGGGTGCTGAGGCGCTGGCACAGGGTGCCCAGAGAAGCTGTGGCTGCCCCATCCCTGGCAGCGTTCAAGGCCAGGTTGGACACAGGGGCTTGGAGCAAGCTGCTCCAGTGGAAGATGTCTCTGCCTGTGGTAAGAGGTTGGAACTGAATGAGCTTTAACCAAATCAGTCTGGGATTCCAAGATTAATTCCATGCCGTGCAGTAAAAATGAGATCTTCTTTGAAGGAGCAGAAGAATTCTTGGGGACCATGCTTCCTATAGGATATCATAGAGAATAGCTTTCTGCCTTGTAAGAACCTCTGTGTATGCTTTTAGAGTTGTCGTCTTCTCTTTTATTGTTGCCAAAGTGTGCACTGTTTTTGAAGGTGGTGGTTAACATCACATCGTTCTCTTAGGCTAATGGCTGGGGAGACATCTTGCTGATAGGGAGCTAAGGTGGAAGAGTGGGAAGTAGTTTATTTGATGGATGCATTTTGTAGGTAGTGGCTGTTCCCTTGTGAAGGGCACACGCAGAATGGAAACATAGTTATGAGGTGGGCAGTGTCTGATAATACAGCCCTAGTTCCACTTGGGAAAAGTGAAATCCCAAACAAAAATGCATGACCTGAGCTAGGAAATCCTAAGACTACCTCTGTGTGTTGCTGTAAGAGTGGGTAAAACCAGTTCCTTGTCTCCCCAGTCACCAAGGCACTTGTGATGGCTGGTACCCAAAGTCACCAACCAGCCTCTCTAGGCAGATGTGCCAGATGCTGCTTTTTTTCTCCCAAATGAAAGCACAGCAGTAGGAGAGCAGCTGGAATCAGCTCTTCAGAGGAGCTGTGCTGATCAAAGGAGGCTTGGCTGCATGCTCTGCTGAGATCTGAGCTTGGGCAGCAGCTGAAAGCTGTCCACCGTGGCCTCTTGTAGATGGTTCTCATGTTCCTATGGCTCCAAGCTCCTGCACTGTCTTGGGCCTGCTTCATGCCCTCCAAAATCTGCCCAGGCTCTGACTTTGCTGAAGTGCATTGACTGAAGACAGGAGGACGCTCATCTGCAGGAGCAGAGGTTGACAGCTCTAGTGGTATGGCAGCCCAAAGTGCAGGGGAGTTCACAAATTCCCTGGAATACACACTATTCCTTTATAGTTTATCCCTGTCTACCTTCCAATTTGTGTAGTCAAATGATTCCTACAAAACCTCTGCCCTCTCTGCAGTGTATGTCCCCTGTGCTGCATTTGATGTCAACTGCTTTGAGAATGTGACTCAAACTTTACATGCTGTTGGAATTACTTTCTGTCTGCTTCTAAAGCTGGCACATGGTGACTGTCATCATCCAGTGGCAAGATGCTGAGGGAAAGAAATTAATTAAATTCAAAGCCAACTTAGAGTAGCTTCAGGGAAAGGAAAGTTATCCTTTAATCTCCGTGTGTGGTTGAGATGCTGCTTTCTTTTCAAATGAAGTTCTCATTTAGTAGTCAGGTTTCTGCAGCATTAACCATTAGTCCTGTCACTTCTTCAGGGCTGAGTCTGGCTGCTTTATCATGCACCAGGTTCTGCTCTTATCACAGACCAGCTTTCCTACGTGAGGCTGAAGCAATATCCACCAACACCTCTTTTTATCTGAGCTTTGAAGCATAGCATATAATTTTTCTGTCCTGCCTGAGCTCCAGCTTCTAGGCAACACAAGGGGGGCTGAGGACCTGGCTTCAAACTCAAGGCTTTGGTTTCTTTAAAACATGCCATCACCCCTCATCCAATCGCAGCAGGCCCTGCTAAAGAGTCTCTGCCGTCTTTCTTATAGGCCCCTTTTAAGAACTGAAAGGCTGCAATAAGATCTCCCTGGAGCCTTCTCCAGGTTGAATAAGCCCAGCTCTCTCAGCCTGTCTCCATAGCAGAGCTGCTTCAGCCCTCTGATAATTTTTGTGTCTCTCTTCTGGACAGGTTCATGTCTTTCCTGTACTGAGGACTCCAGGAGGAGCATTTGCCTCTCCCCTGCCCTCTGATGGGTGCAACACATGTGGGTCAGGTTGGTTAAACCTGCAGACAGCATTTTCACCCTGCTTTTCCTTTTCAAGACACCTATGTCAAGTGGCATTAAACTTTCTCCTGTGTTTCTGTCTCAGCATCCAGGCAGCTTCACTGAGGTGTTAGCAATGGAAAGCTTGACTCAAACCTTGCCAGAAGATTCCTTTCAGTAGTTCTCAGGACACACAAAATCCCAAGCTCTGTGTATCTGGGCATACTCTGTGCTATGGATTGATGGACACTGGCTGTGCCCTGATGTCCCCTCCCCTTGAGGAGGGCTCCAGCTGGTTTTGCTCTGTCTTCCTTGTGCCAAGGTTTATTTTCCATACGGATGCATGGTTTGGGTGGGGGTGTTAGTTGATTTAAGCCTTTTTTTTCCTTCTGTTTGCAGGCGTCTCAGGAGTACAAGCAGCTCGCTTTGAGGAAGCAATGAGCGCAAAGCACTGCGCACTGTCACTGGTGGGAGAGCCCATCATGTACCCGGAGATCAACCGGTTTGTGAGGCTCCTGCACCAGCACAGCATCTCTACTTTCCTGGTTACAAATGCACAGTTCCCAGATGAGATTAGGTGAGAGTTGGACAAAATACCTCCCTACTAAAACATTTGAGTGCAGACTTGTGTTTTAATTCCATTTTATTGCTCATCAATCAGCTCTGTGCTGACAATGAAAAAGCCCACTCAGCATCTATTTGATTTTAGCCTTTGTATCCCCATGCTCTTTCTCATCTCTTTTTCTACCAGTTTGATTTTTCCTTTCTGTATCTCTTGAAGTGGGATTACTTCTGAAAAGGAAGAGGATATAATATAGTACCTCCTGGACGTGCAGCGAAGAGGAGCGAGTGAGCTGCACATTGGGCTTGGGGACATGGATGATAACTAGTGCAAGTGTTTCTGAGAGCCAGAGCAGGAGACTCAGCTTGTAAATTGCCTTTTTCATTTGTGAGCTTCTCTTGCAGTCTGATCTTTGTTCTAACTCCAGAAGAAGGTTTGGATGGGGCTTGAAGCAACCTGGTCTTTTAGTGGAAGGTGTCCCCTGTGGCAGGGGATTGGAACTGGATGAGCTTTAAGGTCCCTTCCAACCCAAACCAGTCTGTGATTCTGTGAGTGCAGCTTCGTCTGTCTCCAGGCACACACAGGAGGTTTTACAGCACATAAGCATGTATTGAGCAGTTACTGGCTCCAGTCCTCTTCTTCTCTTTCTGTTCTTTATGTCATTGACCAGGTGACTCCTCTCTGTCTGGGGAATCCCCCTTATGGGTGGTGGTCTGAGAGCAATTCATTGCTTTTGAGCTGTGCTGTGCTATTCAGTCAGAACTCACTGCTCAAGTGCAGATGTGGTAAATGCAGTGAATTTGATCTCAGCTAGATTGGAAATGACAACCGATTAAGTAGGAGGAATGCTGGAACATCCATCCTAGTACTATGCAACAGTATTTCCTGCTGAGTATGAAATGTAGCTGTGTTCCAGGAACATCAGTTTGTGCCCTTTCTCCTCTTTCCCCTTTGGCAGAACATGCACAAGGTCACTCCAGTTCGAGCCATAGCAGAACCCTGTGGACCACTCCATTTTAGAGCAATGTGGGGCAGAAATCCCTCCCTGGGATCTCTTCCAAGTCCTTAATTTTCTCCAGTACAACAGTGAGCCTGGCTCTTGCCTGTCCTGGGGATTGAGATCCTCAGAGAAGAGGTGACTTTTCTCAGCTCATGGTTTGAAAACACTCATTCTGTCTTCCCTGGAGCCCCTTTTAATTAGGCAAATGCAGCATTAAGTAAAGAAAAGAGTGGTTTGGCCATGTACTTTGAAACTGAATACTTCACTCACTCCTTTTTTGAGTGAGTGGCTTTGGGCTGCAAGGCCAGACAAGCTTCTTTGCAAAACCAGTTGGTTTTATTTACTAAAACCTAAAATGTTGTGTTTGTTCTGGACTATTTCATGCTTCTAAATACAGGCAGAATGTGTTCAGAGAGGTTGTCTGAGTGTCTGTGTTAAGTGGATTTTCCTGGATGCTTGGTCTCATTCTGGACAATTTGCTGTCCCTTTGTCACTGTGGGGAGGGCAGAGGGTGGTGTATTTCTAGGTGTCACGGTTGGCAGCTGAGCAATAGTTTCTAATTTCTTCTTGTCTAAAGAGCCAAATGAAGCTGGGACCGTGGCTTGTTCATTAACAGACTTCCCAAATCACGCTTGCAAAATGTCCTGAAAGTGTGGAGAGCTGAAGAGATACGTGGTACAATGCGGATGCATCATTCCATGGAAGATGCCATGAAGGGTGGATGTATGTTACGTTCGCTGGCTTGATCAGATTTGTCTGTGACAAGGGAGCTTGTTTTAGGTTGTTCCTTTTAATGTCCTTCATGATCTGTTTGCCAATGATCTGCAGTGGTGCTGCTTCTCCTTTATACCCTTGGAGTTTACAGAAGGGATTAGGCTCTACCCAGGCTCTTCACACCCTCAGAGGAGGTTTAATCTTTTTAGAAGGTTCTGCTGTTGGGCTCACAGATGCTGTGACCAGAAAGACTGGACTGCAGGATTTCTATAAGAGCCTTGGAAGTGGAAGGAGAACATGCTGGGGAATTGTGGTTGGTTTTATTTTCTAAAGAGCTTTGATTTCCCTTCCAAAAAGTACTTGACTCATGGCAGCTGCAGGCCAGGTGAGTTCAGCGTGTCCAGCAGTAGAAAGCGGCCGAGTGACGGTTGCTTTTCTCTGAGATGGGATTATTTCTCCATTAGCCAGGGCAAATAGAACGTGGGGAAGGGGCTGAGCTTTATGGTTTGTAACCATGGGGAGAAGCAGAGCCTTTCAGTGCCTTGAGTAACCCCTGGCAGCCTGCCTTGAAAAGCCTTAGGGAAGCTTAGGAAGAGTCATAAATTGCCATGGGACTCTTAGCTTCCATGTCTGTCTCACTGAGACTGTGCTCTGATGGAAGCAAGTACTTCTATTTACTGATTTGGCAGAAGGTGACATGTTACCTGCTGAGATGAGCAGACAAGAGAGACTGTTTCATTTGAATACTGAGATTTTCTGCCTTCTGAGAGGACAGTGGGGGACCATTTTCTGCCAAATCCGCGTTAGTAGACCTGGGAGGCTCCATGTAATTGTGGGACACTTTCTTCTGCAAATGCTGAGTAGCTTTGCTAAGGTGCCTGCGTGCAAGTGCTGGCTGATCTTGTCAAGCAACACCTCAGGACAAACTCTGAGCTTACTGAAATGAGGTACAGACTTTGTAAGTTCTCTGTGTGAGTAGAGGAGGCTGTGGAAAGACAGGGAGCTAAATATTGAAGGCAAACATACTGAAACCATCTTTTGGGAACTTACTTTTGCCCATCATTTCTTCTGTCTCTCTTGACCCTGGATAGATATGCTTCATTCATTGCTGTGTGTTGTCAGAAATCCCCTTGCAAAGAATTGAAGGTGAAAGTGTTGGCAAGCCTGTCCGTACAGCTAAAAATACTCTGGTCAAGGTGAAGGGAAGGGGAAAGAGAAACTCCAGTAGAAGGTGTCTCTTCTCCTCAAAGTAACTGCGCTTTGAAGGGTCCTGGAAACACTGATAGCACAAGAGCCCATTAATAGTTGCTCCAATTGGTTTACGCTGCTCAGCTGCATATTTCATCATCACAGATAGGGGACAGCAAGAAGCTGCCGTGTGTGAGGCTTTTGTCTAACGTTATGCATGATTCTGGTACCCAGAAATTATCTTGAACTGCTTCCTGGCAGAAGCATCTTCCTGTTTTCCTCCATAGAACGTTGCTTGGTGTTCCCATGAGATGTTAAACAGTGCTCACTAGGGCGGTGATAAACGAAAGGTGGTAAAAGGTGGTGCTTGTTGAGCAATGCAGCTCCTGCTTCAGAATAAGTGGGCAAGTGCTGATGGGCAGGTGTTGGGAAAGTGATGCTAATGTACCTGGAAACAAAACACAAGTCCCATATTTTCCCTCTGCCTGACAAACAATCCAGATGTATTCAGTTGTCCTGAGACGGAGACAAGCTGGCACTGCTGGTAAGAATTATGGAGAGGTTTGATCTCTGCACATCTAACAGATAAAAATGGACAGAGATTTTACAAGCACAAGTTGTACTTTGCTGGGCTTGCCTTTGTGGTGGTTGGGAAGTGCTGGTCCTGCACAGCTCCCCTGCTTGCCTGTGCGTCTCCTGGGGCTTCATGCTTGGTGCTGCAGGGATGGGTGGTTAAAGATAGGTTCTGCTGCAGAATGTTCATAATAGAGACAGACAAGTGGGAGAAAAGAAGAGGAGAGGACACACTCTTAGGTGAGAAAAGAATAAGGATGTCCTTCTTGGACATCTTCCTGCCACCCAAAAGCAGGTTGATTCTTGTTAGGAATAGAAATGGAAGGACCTAGGCAAAGAGCTAGGGTTCAAATCTCTTGCCCTAGTGAAGTAGTTAAAATGATAATGTATTTCAGGGTTTTAACTGAAGTTCTACCCAGAGCTCTTGAGCCTTTATTAAAGGAGTGAATCTAATACTGAATTGTTCCCAGTGTGATTTGGCAGCATCATGTGGCACACTGGTGATGAGTTGCTGCAGCATTTTCAAAGGAAGTTCAGGAATAAAAGATAAAATTTTGTGTGCTATTTCTTTCTGCAGTCAGCAGCAAGAAACCTCCTCTTTGTCCACTACTGTTCGGATCAAATTTTATACTTCCTGTTGTGGTTCTAACAGTTCTTCCCTGTGAGGGTGCTGAGGCGCTTGCACAGGGTGCCCAGAGAAAGGGTATGGCTGCCCCTTCCCTGGCACCTTCCACTGGAGCAGCTTGCTCCAAGCCCCTGTGTCCAGCCTGGCCTTGAGCACTGCCAGGGATGGGGCAGCCACAGCTTCTCTGGGCATCCTGTG